TGCGAACGACGAAAGGGGAATGGCTGTGTGCAACCACGGGTCCGCCTAGCCGGGCACGTAATGAGGCGTCGTGGGGAAGCGGAGACGCCCACGTCCAATCAACCGCCACGCGGTGCCCAAGGCCGCAGGCTGTTGGGGCCCGCGGCGCTTCGCACTTGCCCCTTCACTTCTCTGCTAAGCCAAGTCCGGGCACGCCTTGGGCCCGGGGGCTACTGTCAGCGTTCTGGGAACGGGGGTCCCCAGACTTGCCTGCCTGCGGCCTGCGGCATGGCTCAAGCGGAGGCCCATTGCAGCCCAGCTTCATCAGCTCAAGCTCAAGACCCTCGCGAGGGGCCAAGCCTCGCGGGGCGGACGACATGAAGCTTCCTCAGGAGCAGCCTCATCAGGCGGGCTCGCGAGGAGGCGGAGAGATCAAGGCGGGGTACCTCGCGAGGTGCCCGTGACGCAAGCCATGACGACTAAAGCCAGGCGGGCGCCAGGCGGCGTCGGCCTGCTTAGAGTCCTTGTTTCCCCTTTGGTGCAAAGGGGGCAAGCACAAGCCAAGGCATCAGGCAAAGGCTACCGTTTCGGTGCAACAAGACCAAGACCAGTAGAACGGCAGGATGGAGGTCACTGTGGAGCCCAGGACGGCGTCACCGTCAGAGTCTTTGGCAGTCGAAGACCAACTTTAGTCAGGATAAGTGTATTAGATGTTCCCCTTCAAAATGACCAATTGTTGGCGCCTTTCCCGCTCATTATTTGGGAAGAGGCCCAGGTCCTCTATAAATAGAGCTAGCCACCACAGAGTAGGGGGATCGAGATTTTTGGGTAGACTAGAGAGGGGGAGAAGCGACCGAACTCACCCAAGCAGTTCATCGCACCAGCTCAAGAACACCTCTCGCGAGGCCGTTCTCCCCGTGTACTGTTCATCATCAGCCCCTGAGGCAATCCACCACACACACACTGGAGTAGGATATTGCACCACAATGGTGGCCTGAACCAGTATAAACCTTGTGTCCCCTGTGTGTTCTTCTTCCTAGCCTAGATTCCTTGCGAGGCTTCGAGACGTGAGTTGGTAGGAGAGCGATCTTCGCGCGCACCCCAGAGTTCGAACCTCAAGGGTCTGCCGGAACCCGAAATCCGACATGAGTAAAGGGTGGAGGGGGGCGCTGCACACGGCTAGGCAATTGTCTAGTTCGTGCCAGGTGGGAAGGAGGGAGGAGCAACCACACTTTCCTTTCCTTCCCCTCTTTCCTTCTCCTCCTAGGCCGGCCTGCTATGGGGGGTGCACCAGCCCCTTGTGGCTAGTGCATTCCCTCTCTTGGCCCATAAGACCCATATATTTTGCCGGGGGTGCTCGAAACCCCTTCCGGTGACCCGATAAGTATTCGGTACCCCCACAAAACACTTTCGGTGTCTGAATACCATCGTCCTATATATCAACCTTTACCTCTCGACCATTTCGAGACTCCTCGTCATGTCCGTGATCTCATCCGGAACTCCGAACAACATTCGGTCACCAAATCACATAACTCATATAATACTATATCGTCAACGAACGTTAAGCGTGCGGACCCTACGGGTTCAAGAACTATGTAGACATGACCGAGACACCTCTCCTGTAAATAACCAATAGCGGAACCTGGATGCCCATATTGGCTCCTATATCTACGAAGATCTTTATCGGCCAAACCGTTATGAAAACATACGTAACTCTCTTTGTCTATCGGTATGTTACTTGCCCGAGATTCGATCGTAGTATCTTCATACCTAGTTCAATTTCGTTGCCGGCAAGTCTCTTTACTCGTTCCGTAATACATCACCTCGCGACTAACTCTTTAGTCATTTGCTTGCAAGCTTATGATGTGTATTACCGAGAGGGCCCAGAGATACCTCTCCAATACTCGGAGTGACAAATCCTAATCTCGATCTATGCCAACTCAACAAACACCTTTGGAGATACCTGCAGAGGATCTTTATGGTCACCCAATTACGTTGTGACGTTTGATAGCACACAAGGTATTCCTCCGGTATCCCGGAGTTACATAATCTCATAGTCGAAGGAATAAGTATTTGACATGAAGAAAGCAATAGCAATAAACTGAACGATCATTATGCTAAGGTAACGGGTGGGTCTTGTCCATCACATCATTCTCCTAATGATGTGATCCCGTTATCAAATTACAACACATTCTCGACGCCCGTTTCCTATCTCCGGTGACCATGAGCCCCGGGAAATAAAACCATGCCCACTCAACTCACATGTCTTCCTCATTCCCGCCAGCCCGCTCCTCGGACTACCGGATGCTCTCAAGGGATATATGCTTCAGCGAGAGAGGAAGAATAGCCTTCGCTTCCCCGTGTCCGGCTGCGCCGCTCATCGTAGTGGCCTCCGCCTCCATGAAGCATGGACCGGGGTCGGTTTTGGGGGCGGGGGACGACGGTGGCATGTGAAGAGGGCGCGACACCGGTTGTGTACGCCATTAACGCGATGATGGTGGCCTTTGTGGGACCCAACCAACATCGACCTCCCATGGTTTACTTTTCCTCACTGGCAGCAATCGCGGACGTGCTGGCCGCCTTGTTGATCTCCGTTAAGCTGGCTTCTTTCTCCGCTGGCAGAACACGGTTCAATGAATGTTGACGATGGATGGTGCATGGCGCAGGAGGAGTGGTACGACACTGCCTCGTCCACGATAATCACAATGACTACGTCGTCGTGCTCCCCCGCATATCGACATGGAGCAACTCACTACTCCTCCACGAGCTTTCTTGGAGCGGCGAGTTGATGAACCACGCGCCTTCTTGGAGCGGCCACTTGCTCCTCCCGCGACCTTGCCCATGGTACTAACGGCCTGGAGCAGTGAGGGAGGTGGAGTAGCGAGTTGTCTGGCTCGTATTCGGCGGGCTCGACGCGCCACCCAACCGGTTTTATGCCGGAGAACTCCTCTTCTTGCTCGTTGAATGCCATGGAGAATGGAGAATATGGTACAATGAGGAGATGGGAAGCTGAGGTGTGGTGCGGTTCTTACCCGACGTCTGGCCTCGTTTAAATAACGGGTGGACGCGAGGAGCCAACTGGCGTTGTGTTTAACCCCCGCCGGCTCGCGAACGGACGTGTGGCTGAAGTAGGTTTCTCAGCACACACACGCGAGTTTATTGGAGGTAGGCAGGCAGTCTGTAGCCGTTTGAATGCGACGAGGAGGCATGCTCAACGGGGCGTGCAGCGGGCGACACTCTTTCGGCCGGTGCGCCGCTTCAATGTCGCCAGTGAGAGGTCGCGTTCGCTCTGGACCGGCGTCAGTGCGGGCAGCTGGCGTAGGGCGAGGAAGGAGGGTTTTGGGTGGGCTACGGTTGCGACGTGGCAGCGGTCCGGACGCCCCTCCCCCCCTCCCACTTTATCTCCAATTTGTGAGAAAAACATGCCTGGACTAGTCTGTGGACCGATAGAGACCCGCGTTGGATGGCAAAACACGTCCAGACCACATGATCCGGACGGTTGCGGGCGGTTTGAGGGTTGGCGTTGGAGATGCCCTAAGATACAATTTTAGCTAGCTAGATAGTATTAGAGCTAGTACAATAAGGTGACGTAGACGGGCGGTAAGACTTTAAATATTATATATTTACTAGGTTGGAAGGGAGAAAGGGAAGGTGAGAGAAGAGAAATTGGCTACAAACTAACAGCCAGCCGTAGCACATGCTACTAGAGACTTTGTGCAACACTCGACATTATCATTTTCTACTTGTCAAAAGATGATATCACCCCAATCCCGAGAAAGCGGTGCTATCTCATGATCCTTGCTGCCATTTGTTTACCTATTCTCCTCTCCTTTCGCTGCGAGCTTGTCGTCGACCTCCCACCGGCAGCCGCTGGTGGAGCGCGACCGTGAAAAGGCCAGGCAACAGCAACAGCAGCAGCAGCGCTCGCTCAGTTGGGAGCCACGAGTGCGTGCGTGCGTGCGTGCATCTTGGCAAAGCAAAGGAGGTCAATAATTCGGGCCACTCGTCACCCTATCGAGATATCCACACATCCTATCCGCGATTCCATCACGGCCATCCTTCTATCCTTTCCCCCCGGCGCTGCTGTAGATGTGGACTATGAGCATGCACATGATGTGATATCACATATGCGCACACTTCCAAACCGGTTTGCGTGCGAGTGCCGTAAAATCTTGTCGATTCCTATGAGGATCGAGCCGTTCCGTGCGGAATTCGCCCGTCGCCGAATGTGGACTGGGTAGGCATCTCGGTTTCCTTTGGCTGTCAACCGGGTGGAAAGGCTTTCGTTTCCAATGAACGGACGAGGTTTTGCGATCGTGATTGTCGCGAGGAGATGATGTAATCACGCCGCGCACATGTCAGCTATGCACGGTTTGTGCAGCCAACATGATCCGACAGGGAAAAGAAAAATCTGAATGAGGCACGGTTTCGCCGGTTGCTTCTGTCCACTCCCCTCTGCTAGCATCACAACTGCCAGGAGACAGGAGGATATAGCATGCTCGTAGCACGCCCGATTGATGTTGCCGTGCCATGGACTGACGATGAGGAGCAAAATGCAGGCAGAGCCCAATTATTGAAGCCATTTGAAGCTCAGAGCCACACAGGCAGAGAAAGAAGCCGTCCTCTCCTGTCACCGCTGCCTCCTCAGATGGCAACAAGAAACCAACCCAACTTGCGTGATTCAATTCATGAGCGCGATGCCGCCATGGGGGCCCTTCCAACGCCAATTCCAATATCTTGGTGATATCTCCATGAAGGCACCGATAACATTAATTAATTTGGTAACCATACATTACAAACAAATCTACTACATATCCTCTCTGGTTTCCCTTCACCAACTTGTACCAAAGCAAGCAATTCTTATGTATTTTACTCCTTACACTAGCTGAAAAAGCTACTACGCGAATCGACGGGCAACAAGGTTAGCACGGCAACAAGAACAGGGACACCACATGAAGCTAAGCTGGTGGTGGCCCAGATCAAACCCTTCGGCCAGGCCAGGCCCGGCAGCCGGGGACCGATCACAGCACCTTGATGGCATCGACCGCGCCGTAGCAGCGAGGGGGCGCGATGCTGAGCTCCAGGATGCTGCTGGCAGACGAAGACATCGCCAGCTCCAGCCCGGAGGCAGCCATGGCGGCCAGCGACGTCCCGCTGTGGAACTTTGATCTCTTCTTCACATGGTCAGTTAGCTCATCAGCCTGCCAGAAGAAAGGACCCGGTTGGTGTAAAGCTTTGCTCACACTGTTGTTACATCAGAACATGTTCTCAGATGTAAAGGTGGCTTTACCTGCATCTGCATGTTGTTGTTGTTGTTGTTGCCCCTGATGTCTCCTGGATAACTTGGTAGCTGAGGCGAGGTTCAAGATTCAGTCAGTGTTCAGACAAAACGGAAACTCGATGTAGAAGGATACGAAATGAAACAGGAATTCAGTGGAATTTACCGGCACGTCGCCGCGGTCGGTGTGGAGTATCTTCTCAGCAGGAGCAAGCTTGGTTCCAACACTCTGAGGACTTGGCAGCTGAAACCAAATTGAAATTCAGTAGACTGCATACATTAGCTGCGCGATCCGATGGATGTTTGGAGTGCTTGGCGCGAATTGGACTGGATCCGAGTACCTGATCGTCGTAGCTGTGACCAGCGGGGATGCCGACGTCGAAGAGGCTGGCCCGGCGCTTCTTCTTGCCGGGGTTGGTCTGCCGGAGGAAGTACTTCTGGGCGTGGCTTGCCACCTGCGTGGCCGTCCTGGTGGTGACGAAGTTCTTGGAGATGCCTCTCCAGTCCCCCTTGCCCAGCTGCTTCAGACCCTCCAGGAACTTCCTGTGCTCCTCCTCGGTCCACGGAATCCCTGAACCAGAATCTCAATCAACCACTTGCGGCATGATTCATCGTACTAGGACTACTGCTAGGAAGCAACACGGAGCGACTGATGAAATTGTTATTCAGCTCAACTACTACTAACATTCCACTTTGGTGATACATAAAGGTCATGATAGCTTGAAGTACGTTTCTTAATTCCTTGATCCAGGACAAAATTTCCACTCACAAATCACTATTAGTTAAGCGATCAGATGATTATGCCCAAAAACAGCTCAATAATTGCAGGAATCTGTAAACCACATGAATGGATGGAACAGTGGAGCTACGGGTTGTACAAGGCAAGAGGCTAGAAGAACCAAGAAACCGTGCGTGATCCAGATGGAGGTCAATCGTGTTACCTTTCTTCCGCTCCTGGGCCTTGCGGCGGCGGCGCTTGAGCTGCGGAGTGGACGCCAGCTCGCCGTCGTCGGAGGCGTAGCCCTTGTCGTTGCTGGCCTCGCCGGGCAGGAGAATCGGGTCGGTGGAGGCGCAGGCGAGGTTGGGCATGCTGGTGCTCTTCTTGAGCTCCATGGGCTCCGCGTCATCCTCCTCCTCGGCGCCGCGGACCTCGACGCCGAACAGCCTGAAGAGCACCGCCTTCTTCGCGCCCTCCTCCTCCATTCCCTCGCCCGATGGAGCCGGGGGTTGCGAGGTCGCTGTCGCTGATGGAAGAGAGGTCGGATCAGGCGGAGGATGGTGGCGGTATCTTGTTGGAAGTGGATTGGACGTTGGATGATTTGGAGGCTACCGCACGAGGGGAGGGAGGGAGGGCCGGGAGAGACTGACTCTTGGTGGGTGGGTGGCTTTGTCCTCACTGCCTACTTACCGGCACCTGCTACCGTCTCCCCCCTTCTCCATTTATAAGCGCGTCCTTGTTTTTGTTTTTTCCTTGCTGTATCTGTATTTTTTTCCTCTCCGCGGCTTACTTTCTTGAGTAGGCTTTTAATTCCAAAATTGTCCATACTTTCAGCACAAGCATAAATGCTTGGCCCTTAATCTTCTGCCCCGTTTCAACGCGGAGTACATACGGAGCAAAATAAGTGAATCTATACTTTAAAATATGTCTATATACATCTGTATGTAGTTTTTATTGAAATCTCTAAAAAAACTTATATTTATGAACGAAGAGATTATTACTTTATGCTATACATAGGCTATGGAGAAATTGCACGGTGGAGCATCCCCTTGCTACTCCTGCTGCCGCCATGCCTTACTGCACTATAGATAACCACTCTCGTTTTTATTTTTCATGTTTATTTTTTTAAGTACGCTTAGGCGTATCATAGCTTTATAGAAGGCAGAATTGCAATTATAAGAAACTATCACTCGCTGCGAACAACGAGCGTAGTACACACCGCACCACTCACGACCAAGTCCACAAACACACAACACCGCAAAGCAAGCTACAACATAGAAGAGCCTATCCTCAGCTGACACACACATCGTGTCTCGATCGACGCCGGACACCTCCGAAAACCACTACCTTCTAAAGAACATCGCTTGTTGACGCATCATACACTCTGAGCGCCTAAGAGGAAGTAGCAGAAGGCGGGATTTTCTTCGATCTAAGGAAAACACCGTCTTGGAGACACCGACAACGAGCGTACATAGCGCCGCAGAGGACCAACAAAGGACAGCGCGAACGACGGAGGGTGGCAATAAGGATCCATCCATGTCTCCACACATAATGTTCCCAACAGAGATACAAGTTGAGGACGTTGCCAATTTTAAGTGCATCTAGTGCCCCTTAGTGATTTTGGTGTATTGAAGACTTATAGGTTAAGGGACTAATATATTTATGAGTGTACACATGCTCTATAAGTCGATGAGGAGTTTGATATTTACTGTGAATGTCGACCCCTAAAAATGTATTTCTTCAGCTGAAGACTTTGGTTCTCCTGAAGATTTTGAAAGTAAAGAAATTGGTATGACCTTGAAGACTTGAATATTCATGCGAGGATTATGAAGCGTGAAGACTTTTGTTTTCGTAGTTTCATTTTCTCTTTCTTGAGTCATAGGAAACACTGTACTGTTAAAGGAAGTCGAGGTAATACTAAGGAAACTGATTTCCAAGTGATGCTCCTCTCAAAATTCTACACCTACCCAATCCTTTCGAGTGAAGACATTGGAAATCTCATATCAGCTCAATCAATTTCTTCAGAGACAGAGATGAAGATCTTCTAGTCTCTGAAGAATTTGTTCTGACTGAGGAGTTATGAATTCGCCAGTGTGGATTGCCTACATAGTGAGGAACATGATAGCCCTGAGGAATTTCATACCTCAAATCCGATCGTTGATGTGCCACGCGCCAGCTGTCCAAAATATCCTACCACCTAATGGTCATATCATTGAAGGGCATTTATGTCTTATCATGCCGGGCTGCTCCCTAGACTATAAATACCCGCCCCCTACAACCACTAGTTGGTTGACTGCTCCGAGAGAAACTGACACTTGTCATTGAGAGCATCCCATCCTCCGAGGACTTTGAACGATAATCATCAAGTGAGGAAAACCCAAAACCCAAACCCAAACACCTACAAACCCAAAGTGATTGAGCATCACTGAAGAGATTGTTCCTATACCGACGCTTGTTACCTTTGAGAATTGTGTATCCTCTAGACGATTAGGCGTCATGGTTTGAGCATCCAAGAGGAATTGTGGATCGCCGAGTGAGCAAGTCTTTGGAGGTTTGGAAGTCACCTGTGAAGAGTTACCACGAGTGTTGGGCGAGGTCTGTGTGACCTTAGCTCAAGGAGAATACGGTGAGGATTATGTGTCCGGGACTGTGTGTCCTTGAGTTTAAATACTCAGCCGCTCCAACCAGACGTACAACTGTCACAACAGTTGGAACTGGTCTACCAAATCATTGTCTTCACCAAGCCAATGGGTTCTATTTCCTCAACCCTTTCATTTCCTCATACATGTGTTGATGAACATGATCATTACTGTTTGAAGACTTTGACTAAAGACTTCCTCTATTTCCTCAATCCAATTTCTTCAGTCACATTGTCTTCAGCCTGCTCATCCTGTGTTTACGCTTCCTATACTCTGTGTTTGTCTTTCATTTCATCATGGTGACTATGATATTTCTCTGTTATGCTTATACCTGAGTACTTATTCCGCTGCTTGTTGTTCGTAACTTAGGAATTTCCTCACCCTGAAATTCCTCAGAAACGAATTTGTAAAAATCACCTATTCACCCCCCCTCTAATCGACTTAACGCACTTTCAATTGGTATCAGAGTAAGGTACTTCCTTGTTCTATGTGATTTTGGTTTAACCACCTGGAGTTCTAGTTATGTCGACTGCAGGTATGATCAAGGTCTCGGCTGGGTGTCTACCTTTGATGGGACGGACTACCCATACTGGAAGAACAAGATGCGCATGCATCTTGAGGCAATTGATAATGATCTCTGGTATGTTGTGGAAAATGGTGTTCCCTCAGTCACTCCATCTGTGAATGCTGCTGATGTGAAGAGATTCAAGCAACTCGACTCTCAAGCGAAGAATATCATATGTGGCCATCTGAGCAAAGGACAGTATGGCAGAGCGAGTGCTTTGGAAACTGCTAAGCTGATTTGGGACAGGCTGTCCAAGGTCAACGAAGGAGTCTCCACTCAACGTGACTCCCGAGTTGATGTTCTTCGCAATCTCTTCAACTGCTTCAAAAGACTTGACAATGAAAATGTTCAGCAAACCTTCGATCGCCTCACTGACATCTCAAATGAGCTTCAAGCACTTGGTACCACTGACATCACTGTCCATGAGGTGGTGAAGAAATTATTGAGATCACTTGATTCCTCATTCGATACCCTTGCACTGATGATTCAAGAGCGAGCCGATTACAAGTGACTAGACCCTGCTGATATCCTCGAGAGGCTAAACACTCATGAGTTCCAGCTTGCTGAGAAGAGAGATCTCTATGGACCGAGGATTGGAAGATCACGTGCACTGAAGGCCAAGGCAGTCTTTGACTCTGAAGGTGAAGATTCTGGTAGCAGCCTTGGTGACCCTGAAGAACTGAGCCAGGAGCGCAATGCTCGTGAAGAAATTCTAGAAGTTCTCTCGCCGCGGTCGCTTTGGAAAGTCTTCAAGGAGTGATGATTCCTCATCCCGTGACTACAAAAAGAGAACTTGCCACAAATCCAAGAAACCTGGTCACTATGTGTCTGATTGTCCTCTGTGGGAAAAGGAATCAAATAAGAAATACAAAGATGACGATTCTGATGACTCAAAGAAGAAGAAGAAATCTTCAAAGTCCTCATCATCAAAATCTTCAAAGTCTTCATCTCACAAGAAGAGCAGTTCCAAGAAGGCTCGGGCATTTATTGGCAAGGAAATGGACTCTGAAGCTGAATCTCAGGAAAATGCGGAAGAGGAGGAATCTGAGGAGTCAGACTCTGATGTGGCGAGCTTAGCCCTCGCTACTGCTTACATCAGCAAGTCCATCTTCAATGCTGAAGAAAATAACCTCCCCAACTCTGCTGACAAGAGCGCTGATGACTATGCTTCCACCTATTGCTTCATGGCAAAAGGTGCCAAGGTACTCAAACATTCCCTCTCTGACTCTAGTGAGGATGAATCTAATGACAATCTCAAGCCTAGTTATTCCAAACTTGCTAAAATTGTTGTTAAACAACAGAAGGCTTTGGAAAAAATTCAAAATCTACTAGACAAAAGTGATGGCCTGTTGGGTGAGGAATTGAATCGCACTAAGAATCTGACTGATAATCTTCAGAGACTTCAGTCACGGTTTGACAACCTTCAAAATCATCATAACACTCTCTTAACTGATCATGAGAAGCTTTCTTATGAATTTCTTCAGAGAAAGCATGATCTTGAGAAGTTAAAAGTGAGTTATGAAGATCTTCAGAAGGAAAACGATTCATTGCTTGCTCAACAGATTAGTTCCGCTCAGGAAGAATTTATTCCACCATGCCTGAAATGCATTGAGCGTGAATATGCTAATTCTTCACCTGAATGTTCAAATGCTTCTATTGCTACAAATTCTTCAACTATCTCTGTGGTTACAAATTCCTCATCTGAGGATACCACATGTATCACTGACGATAATGCAGGGTTGAAGGAATTGTATGTGACAGGCATATACAAAAGCCTCAAAGGGCATCAGACTCTTTGTGATGTCCTCAAAAAGCAGATCTTGAACAGGAACCCTAGGAAAGAGGGTATTGCCTTTGAGAGGAAACTCAATGCTGATGGGACCTACTGGAAACCTGAGCAGTACCCCAAAGCCTCATAGGTTGCTGCGAAGGGACCTTCCATAGATCCCTGCACTTTATCTGGCTTTACGTGTGAATCTTCATATTCCTCTGATGAGTCATTTGACTCCAAGTATAAACTGTTCAAGAATCATAATGGTGAAGTATTTGCTCGATATGTTGGAACTAACTGTAGGAACGGTCCCTATATGAAGAAAATCTGGGTTCCCAAAAGGTGCCTTGAAAATCTTGAGGTGAATGTCATCATGGCACCACCTATGAAGAAAAGGAACCCCAGATCAAACTCTTCATATGGACCAAATTCTTCATCAGGATCAAATTCCTCATGTGGATCAAAATCCCCATATGAACATCATCGTGCTAACACTTCTGTTTCAGAGGG